GATTTCCTAATCCCGAACCGGACCGAAATTGTCCCATTCCAAAAAATATGGTTGCAAATCGGTTTTTAAAATTTTCGTACCGTTCCCGATACCGAACTGGTTGAAACAATGCCGGTATCAATTTTTATAAGTTTTTTCCCGAACCGTCCCATTTGACCCGTTTTATTTTTTTGTACAAAAATATTATATATATTATATATTATTTATATTTATGTTAGAATTAACAGGCTTGGATTTTGGATTTTGGAATGGTTGCAGATTTGAATGCTTGGTTAGTTAACTTGCAGTTTGCAGGCTTGCAGCTTTAAATGGAATTAGTTAATTTTGAAGTATGTTATGTACCCTTTGATTTTTGAATGGGTACAGAGTAATAGACTGTACCTTTGTTTTTACTTTTTTTGAATGATTTTGGTTGCAGGATTGCACCTTAATTAGTTTGAATGAAAATAGACTATGAAATCAAAGTTCTTTTTTTTTTTATTTTTTTATTTTTTTTAAGTGGAACAATGAATAATTTAAAGTTTGAACATTTTTTTTCCGTTTTGTCCAAATCCGATTGTTACCGATCCGTTTGGGATGGGGATCGTCCCGGACCGGTTAAAAAAGCCGGAACAAGTACCAGGATAGGTCAAATCTCGAACCGTCTCGGACCACGCCCACCCCAAAACAGCTACTCAATTTCGACGTACTCTAGAATTTTATTTGATTTGAAAAATATAAATTAGCGGATATAATTATAGATTAAATACATATTTATAAATTAGAAGAATATATGAAATTTAAAATATATCATGAAACGCCTAGATGAAAAATTCACTAACTATGATAATTTTTTTTTCATAAAATCCTCAGCCCGCCGTCAGTATAGCTTCCAGCTCGGCTAAGCAAGGATTCCATCCTAAGTAAAGTAGTCTAAGAGATGAGTCTCTTCTTAGAGTTTCCTTCTCTCTCTAGAGTCTTCAGTTCCCAAGTGGGATTTTCGTCTTCAACTATCATCCAGTGCATTATTTCCTCTCATTTGTTGATCTTTTGTTCTCCATCATCTATCTGTGATCTTCTCCAGTGTAAGGATTATCTACTCTAACTTGATCGTGACCAACAGCCTCTTTCTTTTATGTTAGGGCTGGGGTAAAGAGTTAGGGTTTTGTGGCTTTCCGTCCTTTTATTCTAAATCTAATCTGGGTCTTTGTGTGTTCTCTTCTAAACAGGCTCAAGATTTCATTCTGAACGTGAAATTAGGGCTTGATTTGATTAAGTGCTGACTTCAATCAGATGCACATGATGGATCAAGATCTGGCAAGTAGATTCCAAAAATCCAAACTGTCGGATAGGGAAGAAGGGGGAATCTCTATTACCGAAGAAGATATTCACCTGGGGAAAAGAGAGTGTGAACTCAGTTTGTTGGGGAAAATATACGGATGCAAAAAGGCAAATGTTATGGGACTAAAGACCATCTTGCAGAACATCTGGCATACTCAGTGGCCATTCCAAACTCGTAATCTCGGAGACAACAAATTCCAGTTCGTTTTCCAATCAGAAGAAGATAAAAAGAAAATATTGGAAGGCAAAGTGTGGTCCTTTGATGGACAGTACCTCTTGTTGAAGGAGTGGAACCCGGATACCAGAGGATTTCCGGAGGATGGGGATAAAGTCCAACTATGGGTGCAAATCATGAATCTGCCGCTGCACTGGGTGTCAGAGGAGACAGGAATCAAAATTGGCAAACTCTTCGAAAAGGTACTTGATGTGCGCATTCCAGAAACAGGAGAAATGGGTGGAAGGCTCATCAAGATTTTGGTGGAAATGAATCTGAAGGAACCCATCATCAGAGGAACTCGCATTAATCTGGGAACAGAAACTAAGTGGATAACTTTCAGGTATGAAAATCTTCAGACATTCTGCTACTACTGTGGGTTGATCGGGCATGCAGACTTGAACTGTGAGAAAAAGAAAGAGGATGTGAGATGCATGAAGTTGAATAGTGGACAATATGGGGAATGGTTAAGGGCTGTTCTTGGGAATAGAATAGGGATGAGAGGGGTTAGTTTAGGGGATAGGTGGAGCCCTAAGGCGGGGAAAGAAAAAGGGAGGGATGAGAATAATACTACAAATTCTCTGAGTGAGAAGGGTGAGGGCATTGTAGGAATAAATAGAGAAGGAAGTCTAGAAGCTGAGAAGAGGGGAGAAATGGTAGATAGAGAAATTGTTGATGTTAGTAATGAACCTGAGATCAATAGTAAGGAGAAGGGAGGTGTCAAGGCTCCTAACCAAGGAATAGTGGAACCAGAGGCAAATAGCTCTACTCAACCCCAAGAGGGTCTCGGGAAGAGCCAATCTGAACCAATGTGTCTTGACAATTTGGTAGCAATACCAGTTCAATCTGTATCCAGTAGACTTATGCAGGGTATTCAAAGCAAAACAGGTAAAATAACTGGGCTTAAAAAACCTAAACTGAGTGAAACTAGGAGATTAAACGGGAAGGCAGATATGAATGAGTGCTCAGATAAAGAACCAGTTAATGTTGAGGAGAAAAAAAAGAAAACCTAATAATGAGGTAGGAGAGATTGAGTTAACCTATGCTAATAATAAAAAAAGCAAAAATTTCACCTGATAAGGAATTGTAGAAGAATCAGTCTGAGTCTATGGTGGATGAGACCAGCCAGAAATGGTCCCACATGTCTAAATGAAGATATGTGTGTGGAATTGTAGAGGTCTGGGAGGGCCCTCTACAATTTCCCAACTCAAGGTGATTTTAAAATCCCATCTCCCAAATTTTGTTTTTCTGTCTGAAACAAAAAAGAAGAAAAGCTTTGTTAATACAGTCTGTAAAAAGCTTAAGTTAGAAGATAGGTGGATTACTGTGGATCCAATAGGTCTTCAAGGGGGCCTATTTTTGTACTGGTCTACAGACATTAAAATAATTGAAATTATTAGTGATTCTTTTTGCATTGAAGTGTGTTTTGAAATGGCTGGTTCCACTAGGAGGTTTTGGGGTGTTTTTGTCTATGCTAGTAATGACTCTAATGTCAGAGCTAGACAATGGGAAGTCCTAGTGAGACATAGCTTAAGGTTGGGGGAGTGTTGGTTTTTGGGAGGGGACTTTAATGATATTGTGGGGAGAGAAGAGAAGAGGGGAGGAAGAAATAGGACTGAGGGAAGCTTTAAGAAGTTCAGAGAGTTTATAGCAACTCTTCAATTAGTAGATGCTGGTTTTGTAGGTTACCCATATACATGGGCTAATAATAGGCTTAATGAGGGCTATGTTGAAGAGAGGCTAGATAGGGTTTTATTGTCTCCTGAATGGGCCCAAACCTTCCCCCAGTCTACTGTTCATCATGTGCATCTTATATCCTCTGATCATTGTCTGCTCTTACTCAACACTGAAAAAGAAAGCAGGAAGTGGAAAAAAATGTTATATCTGGATGCTAGATGGATTAGAATGGAAGGGTTCAAAGAAGTCATAGCTGAGGCTTGGTCACAGAGGGCAAATGGAGTGGGGTTGTACAAGATCCAAAATAAAATCAAAAACATCAGGATGGCTCTGCTGGGGTGGAAGACCAAGTTTGTGACAAACTCAGCTATACTTATTGAAACCTACAACTCAAGGCTGAATGTGCTAAGGGAACTTGGAGGTAACAAAGATTGGAAGAAGTGGGTTGAGCTGCAGAAAAAAGTACACCAGTCTTACCATGATGAGGAAATGTATTGGAAACAGAAAGCAAGGATCCAGTGGCAGAAATTGGGAGACAAAAATACCAGGTATTTCCATGCCTGTGTAAATCAAAAAATAAAGAAGAATTGCATAGAAAGACTGGTCAGAAGAGATGGTGGGGTATGTCAAAATGAGAAAGAGATTATTACAGAAATAGAAGATTTCTTCAGCAACCTGTTCAATTCTTCCTGTCCAAGAATAGAGCAATGCAGTTTGGAGGGCATGCAGACAGTGATAACTGAAGATCTAAATCAAGCCCTAATTTCAACAGTTTAAGAGGAAGAAATCAGAAGAGCCTTAATGGAGATGAACCCCCACAAAGCACCTGGTAAAGATGGTATGACCCCTCTCCTTTTTCAATCTTGCTGGTCTATTGTCAAAAATGATCTATGTTCAGCCATTCAAAAATTTTTCCAAAACTGTGCCATCCCCCAAGAAACCAACCACATCGTGATTACACTCATACCTAAAATTCAGCACCCATCCTTTATAACTGATTACAGACCTATAAGCCTATGTACAGTTACCTATAAGATAATCTCTAAGATATTAGCTAATAGACTAAAAAATGTCCTAAACCTTTGTATTTCCCCAAACCAATCTGCCTTTGTCCCAGACAGACAGATTTTGGATAATGCAGTAATAGCTAATGAGGTTATTCACTTTTTGAATAGTAAGAAAAAAGGGAAAGAGGCTTATATGGCTTTAAAAATTGATATGGCTAAGGCCTACGATCGAGTAGAATGGAATTTCCTTATGCAAATCCTTTTGAAAATGGGCTTTAGCAATATTTTTGTTTCTTGGATTTTTGCCTGCTTGAAATCATCCTCATTTTCTTTCAACATTAATGGCCAGCCTTCTGGTTTTGTGAAGCCTTCTAGAGGGCTTAGGCAGGGAGACCCTTTGTCACCATACCTTTTTATTATTTTGAGTGAAGCCCTAACTAACCTGATCAACCAAGCTTGTGCTAATAACAGTCTTCAAGGTATTAAAATAGGTAAATTTTCCCCTGCAGTAACTCATCTATTTTTTGCAGATGATTCCATCTTTTTTTGTAAAGCTTCAGTGTCTAATGCTAGAGCCCTTTCTTCTATTTTAAATAATTTCGGTCAAGCTTCTGGTCAAATCATTAACCTCAGTAAGTCTTCTATCCTTTTCTCCAAAAATGCACTGGATGAGGTTAAAGATGAGATATGTTATTATTTTAATGGGATTGTAGTAGTTAAGTCCTCTAATTACTTAGGGCTTCCATTAGGTATTGGTAGGTCTAAAATTGAAACCTTCAGATTTGTGTCAGATAGAGTCATTTCTAGAGTTACAAATTGGAAAAATCACTTTCTTAGTGAAGCTGGGAGGGATATTTTAATTAAAACTGTGCTCAATGCCTTACCCACTTATGTTATGTCTTGTTTTAAGCTTCCTAAAGGGGTGTGTCAAGATATTTGTAGATCTGTTGCTGATTTTTGGTGGGGATCAAATGAGGGGGGAAAAAAGAAGATTCACTGGGGCAGTTGGGAAAATCTCACTAAGTCTAAGGATTGTGGGGGGTTGGGATTCAAAAATCTTACCTTATTCAATGAGGCATTGCTTGTGAAACAGCTTTGGAGAATTATTACCAAACCTAATCTTTTGATCAGTAAGGTTCTGAAGGGTAGATACTTCCACAACCAAAATCTGATGGAGGTTTGTCCTAGGAGCTCAGATTCTTGGTTGTGGAAGTCCTGGTTGAGTGTCAGACATGTTCTTAAATTGGGGTTGATGTATAAAGTGGGTGATGGGTGTAACATATCCATTTGGGAGTCTCCTTGGTTACCTAAAAACCATTCCTTTAAACATGTGTGCTTGTTTGAAAGAGATAGAGGAATCCTTAAAACAGTAAATGAGCTACAGAAAAATGAGGGTGAGGGATGGGACAGAGAACTTATAGAGCAAACATTTCACCCTGCAGATGCTAGACAGATTATGCAGCTTCCCTCTCCCAAAAGAGGGTCTAAAGATAGAGCATGGTGGTTCCCTAATTCTAATGGCAAATTTACAGTTAAATCTGCATACAAGCTACTAGAAGAGAAGATAGACAATAAAACTGGAATCCCATGCTCCAGTAAAAATCTTAAACTTATGAAAAAGATGTGGAGGAAAACCTGGAGTCTCAATGTCAAAAATAAAATAAAGATGTTTATGTGGAGATGTTGGCACAGGTTCTTGGCTACTAAAGACCAGATCAGAAGAAGAGGAATGCTTGAAGACAGTATTTGTAGTGCATGTGGGGAAATGGATGAAGACCTTGAACACATTTTCTTTATATGTAGCAGAGCTCAAAGGGTGTGGAAACTGGCTGGAGTACCATGGGAAGGGCTAAAGGGAATGGAACACTCATTTCAATTGTGGTGGAGAGAGATTTGTTTGATTGAAAAGGGCAGCTGCTTGAAGGATAGAATATAATTAACAACCTACATCCTTTGGTGGCTGTGGAAGACCCGCAATATTTGGCTATTCAAGAAGCAATGGGTGGAGGATAAAGAGATTGCAGATAAAGCACTTCAGGACTGGCAGGAATTTTTCGCGCTCTGATACCAGTCTGTAACGCGCTCTGATACCAGTCTGTAACGCCCCGACTGACTAATACACCAGAGTACGCGATTTTTCGCAAATATTCTGAATAAATAAATAAATAAATAAACTAACTTTTTAATTTTGCGAAACTGATTCGGGGGTTACCGTG